CATTTGAGCTACAGAGAACGACTCCTAATGACAGAGAGTGGAAGTGTGACCTTCCTCCCATACTTGGGCATACCAGGGGTTGTGACTTTAAGTATGTATGTATATATATGTACAGCGATAGTATTTGTCTACTCTATTAATATCAATATATTAAAAATGCTGATGTAGATATAGTTTAATTGAACTTATTTAATCTTTTATATATTTAGAAGAAGCATCAGAAGAAGAACTTTTAAGCCAGTATTTTTCTGACTCAAAAAAAACCAAAACAGAAAAATGTGATGAGAAGCAGCAACTTTTTAGTGAAACATCTGCATCCTGTGCTTCCCAGGACTCATGCAAAAATAAGGACAATTCTTGTGTTCAGCCCAGGCTTAGAAATAAATTTGCCACTATTTTTCAGAAGGAAAATGAAAACAATGGTGCAGTGGTTGTTCCAGGAACCAGAAGCAGGTATGTGTCTTTAAATTGCATTCCTGCAATTTCAGTATTTTTTTTAAAGCAAAGTAATATTTTTTTAAAAAATCTTAAACACTATCAGTAGAATCAGAGAGTATAATCAGGACTACACAATATATTATAAAATATAATTAATATCACAGCTACTTTATTCAATATGGAACTCTCCAGGTGAGACTGCTGACTGATAATTCTGAGAATTGCAGTGTCTACATCAGTATTTCTCTACCTTGGCAACTTTAAGGTGTGTGGATTTCACCTCGAAAACTAAAAATAGATATTAACTAGCATGTTTTGATATATTACATAAGTAAAACTATTGAGAATGGTGAGAAAGCATAGGTCTAGAGTCATGATGGCAAACCCATGGTACACATACCAGAGGTGGCATGTGGAGCCATTTGTCAGGGCACGCGAGAGGTTGCCCTGTTAGCTGACCAGTGCTGGCCAGCTGAATTTGGCCTTCTTTTGAGGCCATTTTTAGCCCTCCGATGGCTTCCTTGAAGCCTCTGGAGCGCCCAAAAAAAGGCCCTACGGGCAAACCGGAAGTTCAGGAATGTATATCTGGTTTGCTCGTAGGACCAGTTTTAACCCTCCGGAGCGTTCAAGTCATTTCAGGTTTGCTCGTAGGTTCGTTTTTTGCCCTCTGGAGCCTTCAGGGAAGCCTCCTGAAGGCTCCAGAGGGCTAAAACTGGCCCTACAAGCAACTTCTGGTTTGCCCATGGGGCCAGTTTTTCGTGCTCTGGAGGCTTCAGGGAAGCTCCTGAAGCCGCGGGGGTGTGTGTGCTGTTTTCACCCTTTCCATGATCCTATAAAGCCTCTGGAGCCTGGGGCGGGTGAAAAAACCATGCCAAAAACGGGAGGAGCACTGGTCATGCACACATGTGCTCTAGGGTCGTGCACATAGCATTATGGGTGTGGCATGCCCGCGCACGATCCCTCTGCGCTCCCCCCGCTTTTGGCACGCGAGCCAAAAAAGGTTCAACATCACTGGTCTAGAGGTTGTTATAATTAGCTTCTAATTATTTCAGTATATGTCCATAATTTTAACATACATTAATAATTTCTTATCAGTAAAACTGTAACATTTTAACATGATTAGATTAACGCACACATCTTTTTATATTATCTCTCATTTCCTCCTATACTCACTCAACGTATGTTAGATTTTTCTGCAACATTGGAGATCTGCCTGAGACTATATCGAACAACAAAACTGACCTGCCTCTACAGGACAATGAGGCTGATAGTCCAACTAAGGAAATAAAGAAATTAACAGAAGACCACAGTCCCTGTTCATTGGAGACTGAAGAAATAGAAAGAAAGGTCTCAACCACACCTGGGGTAGGACAGTCCAGCTGTTTCACTTGGTCTAGAAACTTTGCAGAGAAATCTTCGACTCCTAGCCTATCACAAAGCATAGCACTGCTAAAGCAGTATCAAAGACCCAGTAAAGACACAGGGAAAGACAATAGTGTGACTGGATCACAAATAACCTCACCAGCAAATAAAAAGTCTGGTGAAGAGTCATCACCTTTAAAAGAACAGCGGTGTTTATCAAAGCAGAATTTTGACAAGCTGTTGCAAAGCAAGGTGGATACTTCAGAAAAGTCCCCAGTGACCAAGAAAAATGCTGCTCCTGCCAAAGTAAGATTTTCTTTGTTTTGGTTAAGCAGTTTATTAAATTGTCATGGCATTCTCAAGGGATTGTCCAAATCTGTTCTTATTTGTTGCAATTGTTACACATCTGGCTCTCCATTTATAAAGTAACTTATGAAACCTCAAAGTCTGCCTGCCTGCCTGATAGTCTGTGTACTGCTGTAAACTAATATATTTTAATTTGATTGACTGTTAAGAGTGTCGGAACGTGTCAAGCAATGAGATATCTTCATTTTCTAATAGACATTCCAATATATATCGTCATTGGTTTTAATAGCGCTGACGTTCATGAAAGCTGGTACAGGATTATAACTGTTGTGTCACTTTGCTAGTTATTGGAAATTAATTCTAATCTCACTTTTAAGGAGCACAGTGGATTACAAAATCATAACTCTTTTACTGTACTTCATTTAGGCATAGCTTTACTTTTAAAAATGAGTTCACATTTAAAGTAAAATAATGCCTATCTTTTTTTAATGGCAGGAAACTGACAGCAGTCCAGAACCAGGTGATAATCTGAATTCTCAGATCCTTCCATTTTCAGAATGTAGAGATAATAAGAGCACAGTTTCCAAAAATATGGTATATCTTTTTCCTCTTTTTTCATTTTAAGTTCTTGTTTTCTATCTAAATACTAAAATATGACTTGAAGACAGGACCTGTTTTAATATGCATGGATTATAATATATTCTTGATATTATTTATGATCAGCACCCTCCTGTGATATAACTAAAATATTACTCCTCCCCTCTGATACCTCAGAGCTATTCCTAGTCCTTTGAAAGTACAGGCAATCTTTGACTTAGAGCAGTTCAATTAGCGACTGTTTGAAGTTACAACGGCATTGAAAAATGTGACTTACAATAGTTTTTCACACTTAACGTCCCTTGCAGCAATGGTCATCTGATTAACATTCAGATGCTTGGCCACAGATTCATATCTATGACAGTTGTGGTGTCCCAGGGTCATGTGATCCCATTTTGCAACCTTCTGACAAGTAAAATCAAATGGGGAAGCCAGACTGACTTAACAACTTATTACAAAGTTAACCACTTCAGTGATTCACTTAACAACATGGCAAGAAAGATTGTACAATGGGACAAAACTCGTTTAACAAATTTGTCACTTAGCAACTTATGTAGTCAAAAGTTGAGGACTCCCTGTATACATTAGGGTTGTCATATAACTCAGGTTAGGGCTGCAGTAGCTTCTTGCAAGTATATAGGGCTCTTTTCAAATAGCTAAAACTGCAACTGAGCTATTTGATGTGAGCTTCAGACTTTGGCCTCTATCTTCTTTCACCTTTATTTTAAACAGAAGTAGTTTGGCATCATATGCAAATTTTTTGAGCTTGTTTCAACCAAAGTAAACCTTAAATAAAACCTGAAAATCTTTGATTTGATCCTCACATCTATCATAAAATTATTAAGTTGCCTAAGGCATCCCAGCTCAGGCTGCCAAATGCAGTACAATCAATAAGGCTTATTTATTTAAGCATGTATGGAGTGCTTTAAATCATGCAAATCTTATTATTTCAGATCATGTTTTTTATTTCACCTCTTGCACAAAAGGGAAAGAAAGAATATGGAACGCTCTCCTCAAGCCTACCACAGTGATCTACATCATGGTTTCAGTCAAACTTGTGCAGCATTTTTTAAACTGAGAAATTATTGTATATGCTAGAACCATCTAAAACACTGTATTTGGTTTCATTTTAAAATCAGATTTATTTAAGTACAAGTTATATATATTTATAATGTTCCACTCTGATCATAAGATTTTGGATTAGGTTGAACACAGCTGGTTTCAATAATTGATCACACATGGTAACATTGGAATTTTTTTCTGTTTCTTTAATTTAGCTTTTCTTAGTGGGAGAATATTGTTAATTTTCCTTCAGGAAATGATATGATTAGTCATTTGATCCCTATTGAGTAAAAATTCTGATACTGTATTTATCAGGAGAGAATGAACACTGAGCAATGAATCCTCATATATAGATACACTGAAAAGTTTATAACAGCTGATATATATTATTTTAGCTTTTCTTTTGATGATTTTTTGTTTTTTTAAATTATCTGCTGTAAGCCATTTTTAATAAGCTTTGCCTACAGAACCCTCAAACTGTCATTAGTTGATTAAATACTTCTTTATATTCTTCAGAATTATACTGACATCTTGTGGTTAGTTACTTCTTTTTTTCCCATTCTTGAGGTATATGTATATTAACCATTGTTTGCGTAATTGTATTTGTATTTTAACAATAACATGGTTTAGATTATTGTTTTCAGTGTGTTTTAATACTGGTTAACATTACAAAAAAATAGCATGGCGTTCTCTCTCTCTCTCTCTCTCTCTCTCTCTCTCNTGTTCGGTCCCAAGCCTCTACAATATATATGGACACAGACTTGTCTGTCTGCCACAACTAAGGAGGGAGATAAGCAACCCCTTGGCTGGGAACCCAGAAAGCTATCTCTATGAAACAAGGCTTGAACTCATGAAATTCTCCCAATCTTTTTCTACAGCTGGATCAGTAAATTGCTGTTTCCTGCAAAATTCCCCTCCCGTCGCCCCACTTATAAGGACTCCAGGAGGGGCCAATCAGTAGCTACCTGTTCCTATTTCCTTTGGTGATCCTTTTTCCAAAGCTGCTCCATCCTCCTCGCAGCCCTAGCATACGTATGTCAGGGACAGCCTCCTTCTGTTCTTCCTCACTTCTCCCTGACTCAGACGCCACCTGGTGGCCAACAGGCCTCTCTAGTCCCTACTCTGACTCCGAACACCCCCTTCAACCTCCAGGGCAGTCCTATAGTGTTCATCACTGTCAGATTCCACCAACAGCTCAGCCGGCCGCTGTTGCGCCACAACAGATATAGAGTTAGTTAAACAATTCTATCCAACAAGCATATATTTATGGCTTCAGTTTAAACTGGAAGAAAGTTTTGACAAATTCGTACAAGTGTAGGTACTGTGTTGTTCAGCATCTTTATACATGACTTAGATCATGGGTGTCAAACTCACAGCTTCTCATTGCCATCACGTGACTTTTTTCCCATTCATGGAGCTGGGGTGGGCATGGTCTGCATGTGACTAGGGAGCACCAGTTTGACACCCCTGACTTAGGTAAAGTATCAGATTTGCAAACCACCTAAAGAAAGGAATAGCAAATCATTTTAGAAAACAGTAACAAGATTCAGGGATGAAATATATTGTATTTCTATGTGTTTCAATATTTATCTCCACTCCTCACAGATGAGCATTTTGCTTTCACTAAACAATTATTTATCAGCATTGGCTTTAAAAAAAGCATAACAGTCTCTTCTAAGAATGTGTAGAGGATATAGTTAAATTGACATCACACATGCTAATGTTCTGTTTATTATGATTAAAAAACACATAGCAGCATCAAGTGTATTATTGAACAGTCTATTCTATAATACATGCGGCTCAGAATTCACATCACTCTTGCTTGCTAATCACTCCAGCTATTCTATGGGAAGGCATATGTTCTATTTAATGAGAAATGTTCAGAAATCCTCCAAAAAGTTGCAAATTTAGTTCAATCTTGATAAATTCCAAGAAACAGTATACATACAAGAATTATTTCTTATTTCCCATGTTATAAAGCTATATATTGTTAATATGTAGTGTTACTATATGTTTTGTTCAAATTCTAATATAAAATTTGGTTAATGTCAGAAATAAAGTTAAGTATCAAGATTCAGGAGAATCTTGACAAATTGGAACAATGGACAAAAATAGCAAGATAAATTTCACCAGGACAAATGCAAACTCCTGAGATCATATTTGGCAACAGTTCAGGCAGTACAAAAGAAAAAGTTCTGCTGTCTTTGGAGAGCATAATCTGGAGAAATGTTGACAGCTGCACGACATACAGCTATTTTCAAGTGTCTGAATGGCTATTTGCATAGAAGACAATACAGAATCGTTCAGAGTGAAACCAGTTTTGGCCAGTACATCAACTGGAAAAACTAAAGCCATTGCATAAGTAAAGTCATCTCATAGGCAGCTATATTTCAAGAGTTTCCCAATCAGAAAAGTGTTAAGGTATATATGAGTTGAAAAAATTATAACAATCAATCTTTTCGGTAGGCTTGATCACTACTAGGTTCCCTTTGTTCAGCATCCAATGGCTACGTACCAAAACATATTGAGAAAACTCTAAACTAGTAATAAAATTAATTTCAATGTAATTTAGAGAAACAGAGCAATATAACTTTATGTTTTTCTTTCTGTTCTTTTGGTATAGCCTGTACTACCACGAAGCTGCAGCTGGGATGTCACTTATACTCATGAGAAATCATCCTATTTAAAGAGCATTTGGAGCAGGGACTACAAACCCTGTGTTACTACAAAAATTGTCACAAATTCAGCACCTTTGCTAGAGAAATCCACTACCCGAGGAGTTGAGCAGCTAATTAACTTAAAAGGACTCAAACTTCCTAGCAAAATGCTAGTGGCAAAAAGACCCAGGCATGGTATGATTTCTATATTTTGTGTGTGTGTGTGATGTGTATGTGTGTGTGTAGAGCCAAGGTGGCGCAGTGGTTAAATGCAGCACTGCAGGCTACTTCAGCTGACTGCAGTTCAGCAGTTCGGCTGTTCAAATCTCACCGGCTCAGGGTTGACTCAGCCTTCCATCCTTCCAAGGTGGGTAAAATGAGGACCCAGATTGTTGTTGGGGGCAATATGCTATATTACATGTTAGTGACTAAAC